GTTTCTCTTTGTGCCTTTTCAGCAGAACATAAGACTTTGATACATTTGCATGTTTCATCACTTAGCTCATATGCACCATTTTGGGTGCGGTAGATAAAGTCTGTAGACTTTAATTTCATATGCCAAAAAAGTTCTTCTTTTAAACAGCAGATATTAGCAGCATTTAACACCTACCACCCACAGCGTCATGAACTGACCTGCACGTAAATGACTCACTACAAAGAGCTATAACTATCTGTGAGTGAAAAAAGTGTTGACCAAAAAGCCTTCTTGGTGTTGTAGTGTTATTGTTTTTAAACCTGATTTGGGTGCCTGCAGTGCAAGAGGTTCACAATATCACATCTAAAATGTATTTCCTGTAAAGTAATGGCTCATTGCTCATCATTTTAACATAATTTAGTTTTCTCTTGTTTAGCCTCAGATGCTCTTGCACTTTGAGGGAGAGTAATTTCATGATCTGATCTGTGTGTTAAAAAGCATTTGTTTTACCAACATTTGTGTAATGGTGCAATATTGCATTGTGAGCCTCAAGTTTTGCATTTAAATGTAAAAGCATTCGTATATGCTAATAATAAAATATCAACTTGCAAGGGGATATTGTTTACCAGGAACTAAAATCTATCCATCACTTTGTTTGCATTCATAGCATTAAACCCTTTGTGAACATTATTGTTTGTTTCAAGAGATACTTCCACTCGTCTTAGTGAGGGCAGCCTTCTCCGAATTTAAATCAATATGCTTGCTTCTTCTATGTAACTGGTGTGGCACAACATGTGGTTTATGGTTCTGAATGTTACAGTGTAAACATACAGTATGCTTCAGATAATGGCCTTTTTTGGAACAGGAAATTCATAGGGGTTACTGTAAGTGGCAGGTGTATAAACCACTGTCCACTGCATGCACATAATCTTCGTACACTGTATGTACCTACATTGCACACTATAGTTTCTGGAAATTAGAGAAATAGGAGAGCAGTGTTTCCTCTACCATTATATTACACCCCTCATGGAGGGGTCTGAAATTCACATTGTAGGTGCATTCCCACTCTGAGAGACAGAGTTGAAAAAAAAAATTCAGGAAATCACATTGTATGATTTTTTAAATCCCTGTTGCAGTGTGTGCAAACCTGGTCAAGAACTACAGGAAACGTTTGACCTCTGTAATTGCAAACAAAGGTTTCTGTACCAAATATTAACACTGATTTTCTCAGGTGTTCAAATACTTATGTTCAGCGGTGCAAAACAAATAAATTCTTTAAAAAGGTATGAAATTCAACTGTTTAAACCAGTACTACTACTGTTTATTTCAGTGTTGTATTTATTGGAAGATGGAACTGTAGTCCACGGAGTAACAGTGCTTTTTTTTCAATCATGGAAATTAATACAAAAAAATACACAGCGTGTTTGAATCTAGGCCAGATGTGGAGAAACAGTCACACAGTATTTCACTTCAGACTTTACATGATATCTTGTTAAATAACTACAGCTTGGATACAGTTAACCTTTTATAGTTGTGGTATACAAACAATTACTACTAAACATTTCTCAGGCACAAGTTGGAGGTGGGGGAGATCTCATCCTCCCTACAATCAGAGATTGAAGATGAAATTTTCTGACAGTCTATTCTAGGATCATGACTAAGATAAATGACTACTAAAGATAAATATAATATAGATAGATGAAATGATAAGATAAGAAAGATAAGTCAAGTGCCTCCTGAAACCAGCTAGCTGGTAACATGGAGAAAGGCTAGGGTACCTGTAACTACTGGGGGTGTCATGGGGTGCTCGGGAGTGCAAATGGGTGAAGTAGGGTAGGGTGAAAGCAGCCAGCTTTTCTTTTTACATTTGTGGGAGATAGAGCAAAAAGAAACAGAGATCTTTATTTTATTTACTCTTTTATTTAGAGAACAAGATTGTTTTCTCTCCCACCACCACAGGAGAAGTCCTAGCCTGTCTCAGAGTGGTCTGTGCTGCTTTTGGATGTTGTAATGAAAAACTGCAAAAGTACACAACAGGAACATTAATGTTTCATTCTTGATGTATTTGAAGATAACACACTTATTCTGTATTCTATACACAAGACATTGTTTTGTCTTTTGGGTGCTTATTTATGGCTCACGCCAAACTTTGGACACTTTGTCGATGTTCCTAACAGCGTAGAAGCACAAGAAACATCCTAAACCCTCACTGCTCTGTGTGCTCTTCTGTGGGACTGCAGTAACCGTCAGCTCTCACCAACACTTCAGCTTTCCACCACCTTCAGCCTTTCCTGATGTAAACAGTTCTAATCCAGTGTCTGTTTTATTTGTTGTTGCTGCACATCTCTAAAAGATCAACAGTGCCAAGACTCAGTTATGCTTCTTTCTTTTCAAGCACAACACTTAGAATATACTGCAACCCCCTAGGGACTACAGTATATCTAGCGATAGGGTGGGTGGAGAGAGAGGTTCACTGGCTGTACTGCGCTCCAAAGAGACCAGAGAATAATGAATGTGAACTCAAATTGAACCAAAGTTTGACATACTGTGCTGGAGACTGTGATACTGTGAAAATGTTCAGTGGCACATTTGCTGTTTGCTGAAAGGAAAAGTACTGTAGCTGTTTACTTATAGCCATCATGGGTAGCTCATAGCAAAGGTTTGTATCAATATGGAAGTACCTAAACACTTGGTGGTGGTTTACAGGTGAGAACGTGAGTTGTACTGCAATTTGCTGCATTCTGTCTGTATTATTTTCCTACCAACATACATACTTTTTTGCATAATGGCAGCAATTTGGAAACAATTTGAATGTGTTAGGTCAACAGTTTTTATGAAACCAGTCCACTCATGCACATTAATGCAAATTCCTATCAGACCATCTACTCTATAACTATAGCGTTTCTGCTTTGAATTGTTCTAGACCAGGGGTGGCCAATTCCAGTCCTCGAGGGCCGCTGTCCTGCTTGTTTTCCAACTATCCCTGCCTGACCTGCTGCTGATTACCTGGCTCAGGTGTGTTCAGCCAATCAGAAGCTGGAAGATACTATCTAAGATGAAAGACAAAGTGAATTGGTATCTTCCAGCTTCTGATTGGCTGAACACACCTGAGCCAGGTAATCAGCAGCAGGTCAGGCAGGGATAGTTGGAAAACAAGCAGGACAGCGGCCCTCGAGGACTGGAATTGGCCACCCCTGTTCTAGACTGTGTTCAAGAGCATGTCTATTGCAGAGTCACAGACAGCAGCATGAACATAATGTCCCATCTAGGCTACTGTAGTAACGGACATGAAAAGGCATTATGAAATAAAAACAGACTTTTGAAAAATAGCACTTTGAAATAATAATGTCCATAATCACACTAGAAATAACCCCTAAAAACTCTATTAAGTAGGAATGATGAAATACCATTTCAAAATAATGACTTAAGTTTTAATATTTCTTGAATGATTTCACCAAGACAGGATCGTAGCACCACTGAAAAGCAGCAAGACCCGCGGAGGAGGAACAGCCGCCTTCGTCAAACAGTCCTGGTGCACAAACTGTAAGATTCTCTCTAAATTCTGTTCTGAAGATGTGGAATATTTAACACTAAAGCTAAGGCCATTTTATTTACCAAGAGAGCTGCAATGTATCGTTGTGAGTGTAGTTTATGCCCCCACCCCTCAGACAAAGAGGAAGCTGCACTGAGGGAACTGTACAGAATGATTAATTAGCATGGAAACACATATCCTGATGCTGCTTTTATTATTCTAGGGGATTATAACTACTGAAATCTCACGAAAAGCATGCCTAAACTGCATCAGTTTGTGACCTTTCCTTCTAGAGGAAACAAAACACTGGACCACACAGTAACATTAGAAATGCTTTCTCAGTGGGTGAGACTAAGCCTCATTTTGGTAGCTCTGACCACCTAGCAATCCGGGTCAAACCTGCTTACACTAAACGACTCAAGGCAAAACCAGTCTCAGTGAGAACTGTTAACACCTGGAACGACTGTGCACAGGCCAACCTGCAGGGCTGTCTAGAGGCCAGACTGGAGCATCTTCAAAGGGGCCACAGACGACATCCATGAACATGCAGAGACTGTGAGTGACATCAGCAGACCTCGATGTCCCAACTCCCACCTGTAACTGGATTCTGGACTTCCTGACTGAAAGACCACAGGTGGTCAGAATGGGAGGGCGGGTGTCTGCTGAGCTCACAATCAGCACAGGCTCACCGCAGGGCTCAAAATCTACAATGGAATGGTTCAAAACTAAACATATCCAGGTGTTAGAATGGCCAAGTCAAAGTCCAGACCTGAATCCACTCGAGAATCTGTGGAAAGAACTGAAAACTGCTGTTCACAAACGCTCTCTATCCAACCTCACTGAGCTCGAGCTGTTTTGCAAGGAGGAATGGGCAAAATTTAAGTCTCTTGATGTGCAAAACTGATAGAGACATACCCCAAGTGACTTACAGCTGTAATCGCAGCAAAAGGTGGCGCTACAAAGTATTAACTTAAGGGGGCTGAATAATTTTGCACGGCCAATTTTTCAGTTTTTTATTTGTTAAAAAAGTTTGAAATATCCAATAAATTTCGTTCCACTTCATGATTGTGTCCCACTTGTTGTTGATTCTTCACAAAAAATGACAGTTTTATATCTTTATGTTTGAAGCCTGAAATGTGGCAAAAGGTCGCAAAGTTCAAGGGGGCCGAATACTTTCGCAAGGCACTGTACATGACTAGAGTCTTCACAACTGTGGTCCAGGCCCATGCAGTGTAATGGCATGGAGAAGATATGAGGTACTCTACCTTCGACTCCACCAGTATTTCCCATCTTAGGCCAAAACATCAGCAGCATTTAAAGAGTGCATTTTCCAGGCCCTGTTCTTCTTCAATAAAGCTATTATAATTGTAAAACTTTCTTGTTCTGTGTGTTGATATCAACGATGGCAGGCACTGGTTCAGGACTCCTAGTTCTTCACTGTATCTAGTGAAGAACTAAGAGACCAGTGCCATTTAAAAAGGGGACATGGTGAAACAGCCCGATTTGTAGGGGCCACACATTGGAAAAATGTCTTGTTCTGCACAAGGCTTTCATGAGGGTTGACAGCAATAAGTCTTCCCAGTTGTGTCCAGGTCATCTTGGCTTCAAGACAGGCTGTGGGGGAATGTGCAAAGAAAAACTAAGTGTGGAGGACACTCCACTGAAGCACGCAATGAAATTAAGAGGTGCAGTGTTAAGTATACAAATATTAAGCAGGGTTATTACTTTAAAGCCTAAGGAATTGTTTACATGAGTTTTATAGCAGTATGTTAATTGCACAGAAGTTTTCAAAAACAAGACTGAATACCTGGATGGAGTCACGTTTCTTTGCAGCATCAAGGAAGAATTCCAGAGCCATGGATGCCTGGTTTCTGGCCATTTGGAGGATCAGAACCTGTGACATCAGTTAACTCAATCAGCTTACAAGTTTGTCCACAGTGAATTTAAAAGATAATTCTACTTCCCTGCTGTTTGACTTGAGAGCAATGGTCAATGACTATGTTATGACAATGTTTGCCATAAACATTACAGATAAAACAAAGTTTTTACTAAAGCAATACAGCCTGTGCACTTTTGGTTTAAGGCACAACAACAAAGCTTCATTATCATCCAGTAAGTGAAACTGTTGCACTACAGTTCATTCTGACCCTGTGGACAATTGCAGAGTGAAAGCACTAATTCTGTTCTGTGATTGGACTGTCACTGTCCAATCAGATTCGTCTTCTTCTGCTCAATAATGGCGGTTGGCAAACAGCTTTACCGGAGTGCAGACTAGAGTGTGGACCGGAACAGCTCCTACCTACTACTATAAGAAAATAACCTCACTCAGTTCACATTATATTATCTTGCTTAACGCTGTGCTTTCTAAAAACCTAATAAGTGCTCTGTATTAGTGATGGGTAGATGAGGCGTCATGAAGCGTTTGCCAAACTGTATTGATACTGTGTCACTGAATACTGACACCTGCTGGACCTTAAAAATCCCTACAGGCAACCTAGTTGACAGACTCAACTGACACTGATTTGATGACCTTAGTATATACAATAATATAATTTAAGTCATTGTATTTTATATTGTATTATTTCATATCTTCATTTAAATTTAAAATTTCCTTGATATTTTTAGATACAGTCAATAAATAATGTGAACATGTATCATAACGTGAAAATCTAAATGAACGTGTTGTGAATGAGGATGCTTGTGGACTGGGATTT